GGTCCCCTTCGTGAGCTGTTTCTGGTTCCAGAGCCCCTCCGCTTTGATAGTTGTCGTTGACTAATTCTGAAGGTTCCCAATGTGCCGGTGCAGAGGTCGCCGGTCGTCGCTTCGTGTTTCCAGCGGTTAGGTCGCCGTTACTCGCTAATTGACGCCCAGTGCCGTCTTTATTAGCGCAGGTCTCGAAATCAGCTAGAATTTCATTCCTGTTTACTCGATTGCGAGCAAACCTATTGTTTTTCCAATTTTTATTAGATTCGTCTCTGTTCTGGGCGGTTTCGGTTCTAGGGTGCTTGCTTTCTTCTAGATGTGCTGTAGGTGAATCAGGTGGTCCTTCCTCAATATCCAGCCAAAAATAGCGATTTGAGATACCTGGTGTTCGAATGTTGTGCGATGTTGTGTGTGGGTGGGTACTGCCCGGGTAATTGCGCTGGTTCGCCAGCTCAGAGTGGTTGTAGTGGAATCGTCCCTTCCTGTAGTTGACGGTGTGCCAGGCGTCGGCTGGAGCATTTGATGTCCTGTGGGCTGCCGGATGAGAGGATTGGTGACATCTCCTGTGATTAACCTTGTGGCAGTATTCATCTTCGTCTCTTGAGTTGGAGTTGTAAGCTACGAGACTGCGACGTGCTTGTGCCATGTTGCGGTGAAAAGGAAGTTCAGCTTCGTGTTGTCGACTCAGAAATTTGTGGTCTGGGAATTTTTCGTATCTGATGTTGTGTGGATTATGGTAGTGAGCATACCTGATTTGATATCCGTATCCTGGATTTTGAGCTCTTGGTCTCAAGTGGTGGTGTTTGTATGTTCTTGGTCTTGTTTGCCAACTACTGGAATTTGGACAATTCCTAACATAGCTCCTTTTCGAGTTGCTCCTGTGTTGACATCCACGGTGAACGTCGTAGTTGTAGGAGTCTCTGAACCATGGAGGATTCATGGCAGAATTCACATTTGAGTCGTCGGAATTCTCAGAACCATGGACAATTCCTAAGTTTTTATCTCTATAGTCTGACCTTACTAGACTTTAATATGACATTAATATTGATGTCGTAAAGGCAACATTTTCTAAATATGACAATAATTACCCTTAATTGACGAATAAAAACTCATTGTTCCTACTTTGGGATTTGACATTGCTTTTACTCCTATTTAAAGTAATTCATTTTAAACTTTTTCTTTGCTTTGTGGAGGATGATGTCATGCATACGTGTTAGAAAATACATGTATTGAAATAAGAAGTTGAGAATAATCTAATGATTGAGTATAGATTAATATTTATATGTGATATGTGGTGTTTTAACTTTTTTATGAACATGTATCCCAAATTTTATTAAATAACTCATAAGGCCACAAACAAGTTTATGTGTGGTGTTGAGATTTTTTTTTGAGACTTACTTTACTACTTCTGTCCCATTGGAATTTGACAACTTTTCTTTTTTGTTTGTATAAAAAATGTTGATACTTTTCCGTTAAAGCAATGAATTTATGACTTTGTTCATTTCTTTCTCCTGTACACAAACCTAAACCACATAATTTTTTACTTTTCTAATTCCACACTCAATATAAAGTTGACTAAGTTAAGTGAGACGGAGATAATAAGTTGAGGTAAATGTTCCATTGCCATTGTATCTCATTCAGGTACTGAAACTTTTGGGAATCCATCAAGTTAGCAAATGCTATGGCAGACTTGCACTAAGACTTTGATTAGTTGATGTTTCATGTGTGCATTCTTTATATTTGAAGCAATATTCATATTTGAGGGAGCTTTTATGTAGTCATACTTGAAAGTTGAAAGTATGAGTAACAAAGTTGAATTTGAGACTTCTAATTGTTTATTACTTAGTATTGTTGTTTGCTACAAACTTTGAATTGTTAGTTTGTTATGTATAATAATTATAAAGAGCTCGTTTGGTAACACTGAAATGGCTGAATCGGTAAATTCTGTTGGAATTTATGAAGTTCTGGCCGAGGTGGCTGGATTGGCTGATTCTGTTGACTTATGAAATAATTATATTTAAAATTATTTTATTGATAAAGTAAAGAAAATATTATATGAGAAAAGAGCTAAAATAATCATCTACCGTAACTTCAACTAATCCAGTCAGAAATATAACATCAACTACTTATTTTTATTATCACACAAGTCAACGCGTGAAATCAAGAGTTATGTGTTTCATGAAAAAGTTGATTGATGAGAATATTAAGCTCAGGGTCACCAAACGAATTCTATGTTGTTTCAAATTGAACACATGAAATTTTCTAATTCATTTAAGCCAGAAACTAGATGAGACCGGAAAAACATGTTTAGGCCAGATTAAAGACCCAAATCGGCTGCATTGATTGATTTTGATGAAATTTATGAACCTCTGACTAAAGTGACTGAATTGACAGATTCTACTGATTTATAAAAAATTATATTGGAAATATATTTTATTAATGAAATAAGGTAAAAAAAACTATGGGTATGTCTGGAAAATGGCTTATCAGCCAGCTTTTAGCTTGTTTGACCCATTTCAGCTGTTTGATTAACCAAAGAAGCTAATAATAATGTTTGGTAAATGACTTTTAAAATTAGCTTGTTGAGTTTGAAAAGCTGAAAAAATAGATGGTTGAAGAAGTTAAGGGGGCAGCTTCTTCATTCGGCTAGTTCAATTTATTCCCATAAGGGTATAGCTCGAAGCTCCCAAAGTGACTGCATAGCTCCAATTTATCCCCATTGTGCTTTTGCTCGTATTTTTATTAACTTAGTCAACCCAATTATTTTGCTTACCAGTTTTTCTTCTTTTCACTCCTTTTGCTTTCATTGTTTTGACTTGGTATTTTTTAAATTAATCATTTAAGTAGTTTATACTAATCATTACTCTAATTATTTTAAGAGTTAATTACTCATATAGGACAAAAAGACTCATCAAATGTTAAAATAGGACTGATTTCGTGTGTTATGTTTAGTAGGAGTCATTTAAGCATGAGTGGACTATAATACCCTTATTTTAAATACTCCGTAATGAATTGCATTTCATTAAAGCAAAGGTACGCTCCACCTGCGCCACAAAAATATTTAGCCAAATTGGAGATGCAGCCTCCCACACTGGCGTTACCGTACGCCACCACCACCCTCCGCCGGTGCCATCTACCGCCACCCCTCGCCGGCGCTATCTGCCGACGCCGTCGACTGCTGCAACCCTATTGGTACATCATCACCGCCCAACTGGTGTTGCCATCCGTCGCCGCCGTCACAACTCCCTGATTGCCGCCAATGTTAAATCTGGGGCCACCACTCACTTCCGAGCACCGCCGCCATCACAACTCCAGTGTCGTAGATTTGCCATTAAGTTGGCAGATTTAGCTTGAAGGTTGATTGCAAATCTGCCATTAATATTAAGTTGGCAGATTTGACTGATATGCCAAAAAGTGCCAGATTTATCTTGGAAGAACACCACAAACCGCCATACTTTTGGTAAAAATATGAAATACCAACCAAATATTGAAAAATATTTTTTTTTGAATGCAACACACACACTAACACAATAAAAAAACAAAATTACGAAGCTGTTGACAAAACATTAGATAAGCAGATTTACAAAAAATCTGTTCTGCCAAAAACGATAGTCGGTGTGTTCATTTTTGCCATAAACTTGGCAAAACTTTATTCCATCATTCAAAAATCTGGAAACTTGAAAAAACTTTATTCCATCATTCAAAAATCTGGAAACTTGAAATTTATTAAAAATACTGAAATTTGAAAACGGAAATGCAAAACAGAAGACCAAAAATCAACAATCGAATTTCAGAACAAAAAAAAAAGATGAATGGAAGAAAAATCAGAAAAATCAATTTCAAAGCCAAAAAAATAGAGCAATAAGAAGAAGAAGAAGAAGAAGAAGAAGAGGAGGAGGAGGAGGAGGAGGAAGAGGAGGAGGAAAACTGACCAGACGGCGGCGTGTGTAGGGTGGAGTCGTCGGCAAGGGATGAGGTCGGCGATGCAATCGATGTAATATGCAGGCCAGTTTGAATCGATCGATCTGGTGAGGATTGAGAGGAAGAGAGGAGATGATAGTGCGAAGGCCGAAGGGGGAGAAGAAATTGATCGATGTGTTATGCGGTGCGATGGAGAGAAGAAATTATCCAGATGTGTTTTGGGGGTGTGGATCCATCGGATAACAAAGAAGGGGCAATAATGGAATGATAAATTCCTTATGTTTATAATAGGAGTAATTTGGTCCTATTTGGGAATAAAAACATAAGGAGTCCTATTTTAGATTTTTATCATAGTTTTACTCCTATTTGGAGTAATTTCTATTATTTTAAACAAAACTTGTTTAATCAAATACGTAGTACTATCTAGACAAATAATATATGTTTAACTAATATTTTATATTATTAGTTATGCTCTCTATCTTGAATTAATTTGATGTTTCTGGTTTAGATGATTGAGTGTGATGGAGTATATGGCCCAGGGACCCCCGGCCCATAGACTCCTACCTCTCCAATACAGGCCCAATAAGCCCAGTGAGCACATGAAGCCCAAATACGGCGGCCCAAGCATAAAGGAACCCATAGTACACACGATGACGCCTTCGGCTCCATGGCCGAGGGCACCAAAACTACAGCAGACGGTCGCTCTTGGACTGACTTAGGATCTGGGAAATTCTGGCTAAAATAGTAGCTTTCGTCTACCATGAAGCCTTCGGCCACAGAATACTCAGCGAAGATTCCTTCTGAGGATATGCAACCACCGCATTCAATGTGGCGTCACATCCAACCACCGCATTTAATGCGGTACACATGCAATTGTCGGTGCCACCCCGATTGAGTTGACCCTCAGCCATCAGATGTGTGACACGTGTACGCGCTTAGCATTTAATATACCTGATTCTCTCTCTCACTTATTTGTTCCGACTTCTCTCTAAGTTATTTCTCACAATAATCACAGATGAAAAATACGGATTGGGATCGGGCAGATCTCAATCCGTATATATAGGGAGTATGAAATAAAGGCCCCAACTAGGTTTGAAACATGTCAAAGTGAGAGAGTGCCAGCCTTCAGACTCCAATCAAGCTACGGCAGTCGGCAGGGGCAAATTTAGTCCGAAGTTGTACGGCATAACAATGGAACATGGCAGGACTGCCTAGGGCTATACAGTCAATCATTCCAGGCTCTCTTCTTCCGTCCCTCCCAACCATTCTCCCGAAATTTTCCCAAGCCCCAGTGACTGCAAGTAAAGATTTTCGTAAACTTTGTAATTGTCCTGTGATCTAAGTTCGTAATCAAACAACATCCACCACTGAGAAGTGGGTTATGCCCGCAATGGAGCCGTCAAATTCGAATGATAATTCAGCTGAACAGTTTAAACTCGAAGCTAATGAAGCATTCAAAGGTAAAATCTATAATCATCTCCAACCCTTCAAGCTAGCGTCTTTGTTTATCTATTGATGTGGAATTTTTCATCTGTGGTTTTCATGCTTATTATTTATGAATTAGCCCATAAGTATACGCATGCTATTGATCTCTATACACGAGCAATAGAGCTGAACTCTGAGAATGCCGTTTATTGGGCTAACCGTGCTTTCGCTCATACCAAATTGGAGGAGTATGGTAGCGCTATTCAGGATGCTACTAAGGCTATTGAGATAAACCCTAAATATTCCAAGGTATGTTTTGATACTTAGAAAGATAGAGAAAGTGTACTATTGTTTTAGATTTTAAATTTCATGGGTATATTTGGTTGTTTAAGGTCCTATTTTTATTGCATCTCCACTGAATTTGTAGGGTTACTATAGACGAGGGGCTGCCTACTTAGCAATGGGGAAGTTTAAAGATGCACTCAAGGATTTTCAACAGGTTTTTAATAATTTCCTTCATTATTATCTGTTTGACTGCTGGTTGAATTATATGTGATCCATTCTTCTGTTTGTGTGTAGTTACTTTGATGTGTGTTCATGGTGTTTTTGATACATGCTATTTATGTTTCTAAAAATGAAGCAGCTTTTGGATTCATTCGATTTAATTGTAAATCAATACAATTAGTTTGGCAATTAGGAGTATTCAACAATCTTAATTGGGCTCATCTCAATTGCTTTCTGTTCCATTTTCATGATTGTTAGGTCAAGAAAATATGCCCAAACGACCCTGATGCTGCAAAGAAATTGAAGGAATGTGAGAAGGCAGTGATGAAGCTCAAGTTTGAAGATGCAATTTCAGCTCCTCAATCTGAAAAGCACTCAGTTGCTGATTTCATTGATTACCATTCCATAGGTGTGGTAACTAATTTTACAGTCATATTGTTTTTTAATTTTGATAACATCTCAAATTTTCTGAGCCGGAAAGGTTTGTGAGGTCCCAAATGCACTTTCTTCCAGATGTATTCTTACATCACTGTATCATACTTTCTGCTGCCCTCTTTCCATGAGGGTAGCAGAATGGGGGATGCTATGGGGATATTATTTAAATTTCAACAAAATGTGAAATCTGAATCCTGTCTCACCCACCCACCTGAATCCCTGTTTTCCTTCAATCTGAAATCTGAATCTTAGGTAGTGGCAAGTTGAATTCATGTTGGAATACAGCCTCAATGAAAAGCAAACATTCTCAGTCATGTACTAATATATATACAAACATTAACTATCAAAGTCTCAATGTTTGGTTGTAGTGTTCGTGTGCTCCAATGTTAGTCCTAAATCATGCTAGAGGATACATGTTTCTATGCATTCCACCTGAGTGAAATAACTTTCTTGTGTGAATGCCATGTCATAGCCAAGATAGATAGAATATCAACCAGTAGAATATATCCTGATTCAGCATTTCATGTTTATTATTTGTTTTAAAGCTTTCTTTTAGTGTAGGAAAACAGGAGGTTTCAGACTTTCAGTAATTGGGTTATCTGCTGGAAGTTGTTTATATGAGAGTTTTTTTTGGAGAGTACAAAACATTTTATTAATGAAATCAAAGTACAAATGAAAGCAAAGAAAATAGGAAATAAAGAAAGTGACAGGAAAATGTAAAACCCAACCCACAAAATAATAGAAACTCACTCAATAATAAACCCTCATATCAGGATTCGCGTGAGTTTGGGATCTAGTCCTCATATGATGTAATAATTTGATGAATTTAGTAAGATAATTATAGTCCTTCTAGGCAATGACCCTTTTGCTGAATGAAACTTTTTAAAATAATTTTGACATTGCTTTCTAATACCCAACTTTCATTTTCCCATTCACATTATATCAAATTGTTTTTAAATTTTAGAGTTTTAAAACCTTTAATTTCTTGATAGATTTAGTTGGAATAGTAAGTCCTTACCTAATCTAGTTGAAAAGGGGGGCTTGTGCCCGTCTAATGCATGCAACGACCAATCCACCAAAGTAATGTAGTGGTGGTATATATTGGCAGTGTATCAGCTACATTTTGGTGTACCCTGGTGTGTGAAGCTTCTTTCTTTTGCAAAAGTATGTGGGACCCATGCATGACCTCACCCTTAAATATGCAAAAATACACAAGAGGAGAAACCTTACAGTAGGGGTAAATAAGTTCTTACAATAGTACAACAGTGTTTGGTGTTCTTCAGGACCTCTCACTATGTCAGTCCGATCTTTTTGCAGTTGCAGTTTCATTTTTTCCATTAATTAGATACTTTTCTGATGTTCGAGTTGCTAAGAATAAATTAATTAAAGGTGATCCAAGTCTAGTAATCATGTCAATGAGAAGTTGACAGTGGCCACAAAATTTCTACTGTTTGGGGGATGGGTATATATAAATAATATGCAATACCTAATAATACATATTTATGTTTTTTAGTAGTTATAACTGCTTAGAAAAAAAGTCAGTGTTCCGCTCCCCCCATGACCTCGCTGTGTTTTTCCCAGGTTGACAGACTGTTTTTAACTCATAAATGCTGCAGCTCTGTAGCTTCATGAAAAAAGCTAGGTGTCCCAGTACAAATAAGTTCAAATGAAACTGAATCAGATCTCTTGCTAACTATTGATTTTTCCATTATAGTGAAGAGTGGTTTATTGTTACATGTTTATATAATAGTGTGTGTGCTGTGCTTCATTTCTCGTATTTTATCCATGTGTTGTGATGAACATGTAAATAGCCTACGTAGTATAATTTTTACAGAACCGGACACGAAATTATTCCAGTCTTAAATGCTTAATAGAAATTGAAATGGTGTTTAACCTAGACGGCTAGACTCAATATCAATATAGTCGGTAGCCCGTATATACTATACAGATTTTATGTTATGTACTTGTGCTCTACAACCAAGTATATGGATTTCCAATTTCAAGTTCAGCTTTTTTAACATTATGGTACTCTACTATTCATACAAGTTTTTCTTTTGCTGCATCTTTATTCTGAAATAAGAAGTGAGATGTCAAAGTTAGAAAGAAGCATGGCAATATTTTCTGTTTGGGAAAAAGTATAAGCCTGGTTATCTTTGCTATCCAAGAATGCACATTTTTTATATTTGGTTTTTAATTTTTATACATGCAGAAGTGGAGCCACACTATACTGGTCCAAGGATAGAGGGAGACATTGTAACTATAGATTTTGTGAAGACAATGATGGAGGATTTCAAAAATGAAAAGAATTTACACAAAAGGTGTTTATGACTATGAAAAAAAGGTCCTCTTCTTAAATGTAAATATTTATAGATCTCATCACCTCAAATCTTGGATTCTATATGGTAGGTATGCATACCAAATTGTGTTGCAGACAAGAGAAATGCTCAGATCATTGCCCTCACTTGTTGACATTAATGTTCCTCAGGGGAAGCATTTCACTGTATGTGGCGATGTACATGGTCAGGTAATGTATTACTATGGATTGGCAGACTCTTTTATCAGACTTCAACTTCATATTGTATTGCAATACTCTTCACCCATAGGCGCATTTGTCACTTTTGTCCATTCCCTCATATGCTGCTACATATAAGTGACTAGAAATCTGGCATTATCTAAATATGTCCCACATGGACGGGAATCACGGGATGTGCTTCCATTTTTAAAATCCGCATCTGGCTATTGTGGTTCAGGATGGGGTTCTTTTGTGTATCCTCTCCTCATCCGCTTATCAACTTAATATATAGGCTATTTTGTTATGATGAGTTGGAAATTTATTTGTAATCGTTATATGGTTTTGGACTTTCCATCATTCTCAATGGAGCCAAAGACTCAATATTTTTTGGCTTGGGAATATGATGGAATAAAGCAAAATGGCTCACTAAACTGAAGCACTTCTTTGTTATGAAGTGACAGTCAGCCTATGCAATTTTCGACGCGATTTTCACTATGGGTCATTCAGAAACAGTCTCTCTCTGCTTTAGTACAGGGGTAAGACTGCGTACATCCGACCCCCCTCCCCCCTTACCCCACCATAGGTGGGAGCCTTGCGGCACTGGGGTGATGATGATGATGATATGGTTTTGGAGTTTTAGAAAATGGAATAATGCTTATTGAAAAAGATAATTTAACTTTTCATTATATTTATTAGCCGTAGCCTTGACAGCGTCGTGATAGGCTCCTTGATAAACTGACGCAGATTGGTTTTATGGCATCCACTATTAGAATAATTAGTGGAGCAAATGTGAGTGGGGGTCAAGCTATCTTCTCATCCACCCCACCCCCACCACCATTGCCCCCATATTTGGCTAAGTCACATGCATATAGTTATACAATATTGCATGTAGAGATGCATGTTGGTCTTTGCCTAGAGCCTTAAAAGCATATTTAAATGAAAGCATTTCCTTTTATTTGTATCTATGTGACACAATAGAGTAATTTATAGTTGCAACATCTTTTTCAACAATGTTAAGTTGAAATGAAAATTAATGAAGTTGTGTACTTATTTCATTGATTATTAATCGCAACAGTCAACACCTAGACTATTGCACTAATCAAATGCATTACATTAGGACATATTTTGATACTAATGTGAAACAAATCGTATGATATAACATCTTATTAACTTTCTCTCAATGTATATTATCTATGTATTAATTTTATAATTCTACTAATACATTAACTAAAGGTATGTTCTCAGAGTTGTTTGTTGGAAAGCTTGAATGTCAAACTATTGCAACTAAAGTAGATTCAAGCTTAGTATACAGAAGGATATAAATATTGGGAGTTGCCCAAAAACACCTATAATAATAGCTTAATCCCAAAACACTGGGTCCCTTACATTAGAATCTTTGCTGAAGCCAACAATCTGTGCCGTCATTTTGATGGATCTTTTTGTGTCAAGCACAAATAGACCATCTGCTCATGAAGTTGTAGTAATTCACTTTTGACTTTGCTATTTTGAGTCGCTCTTATTGGCTTTGTGTATAATACATCTGGATGACACCATTTTGTCATGGGTTGCAGTTCTATGACCTTTTAAATATTTTCGAGCTCAATGGTCTTCCATCTGAAGATAATCCGTACCTCTTCAATGGTGACTTCGTTGATAGAGGATCTTTCTCTGTTGAAGTCATATTGACTTTATTTGCTTTCAAATGCATGTGCCCATCAGGTATGTCATATTGTGAATGTTATTGATGTGTAGAACCTACGTTTTAATGATTCCCTTAAACTATTGAATCCCCTTTGATTTACAAAACATTTCAGCTATGTATCTTGCTCGAGGAAATCATGAAAGCAAAAGCATGAACAAAATATATGGGTTTGAGGGAGAGGTCAAGTCCAAACTTAGTGAAAAGTTTGTAGAACTTTTTGCTGAAGTATTCTGCTGCTTACCCTTGGCTCATGTGATAAATGAAAAGATCTTTGTTGTTCATGGAGGCCTTTTCAGTGTTGATGGTGTCAAGCTCTCGGATATAAGAGCGATCGACCGGTTTTGTGAGCCACCAGAGGAGGGTAAGATACTAAGATCTCACTACTTTATGCTTTTGGCCATTTTAGATTTCATTAGCTAAATCTTTTGTGATTGTGTTTATATTCAATTGCAATACATGACTCGTGCTTGGTTTTGACTTATAGGATTGATGTGTGAGCTGTTGTGGAGTGATCCGCAACCCAATCCCGGAAGAGGTCCCAGTAAACGAGGTGTAGGTCTTTCATTTGGTGGGGACGTCACAAAACGATTTTTGCAGGACAATAATCTTGGTATGTCTGTTATTCCTCCTCAAAGAATGTTTTAGTTTCACATATTCAGAAAGTGAGGTATCTGAGTGTGCTAATTTCAGACTTAGTTGTGCGATCCCATGAAGTCAAAGACAAGGGCTACGAAATTGATCATGATGGGAAACTCATCACAGTTTTCTCTGCTCCAAACTACTGTGATCAGGTGATTATTTCTTTTAGGGGGTTTATTTATTCATTATGGGATAGAATTCCTAAAATTTGAGTGGAACACATGTTGCAGATGGGTAATGAAGGAGCTTTTATTCGTTTTGAATCCCCCGCTCTTAAGCCAAATATTGTTACATTTTCAGCAGTGGTGAGTAGTCTTTTTTTACTAATCTACTATTGAAAATCATCTGCTTCTCTTGTAAACTTTCCTGCTCATTTAATTACTGCATCTGAAATAACAGCCGCACCCTGAGGTCATGCCAATGGCCTATGCCAACAACTTCCTCAGAATGTTCTCATAGTAGGAGGCTCTGGCCAGATTAAAGTATATGGCCAATGTCAATACAATAGAGGAAAGGAGATCAAAGGAAGAATGCGCTTTTGTAGATCTGGTCATCAATAGAATATTTGTGGATTTGTTGGAACTGCGAGTAAGAATACATGATTAGCTTTGTCTGTTTAGCTTTGTCTGTTTAGGTGTCTGTTTAGGAAGAATGCGCTTTTGTATAATCATGTCTGTTGGTTGGATGTGTAAGATTGTTGTCTTCCTATTTCCTTTTATGAACCCAAATTAATTATCAAAATGATATTTTTGACTAATCACACTACTAATTATCAGCAGGCAGATATTAACTTAGATAATCAATATTATGTCCAGAGGCTTCAAAAATCTTGTTCAGGGATTTTCATGTCAAACTACTCCTCTTCCAACGTTCTCTGACCCCTGTCCTTTTGTTTCAATGTCTCACTTATTTTCAGTCTGTCCATGAAGACCCACACCTATCACTTCACTCTGCCTGCCTGCCTACTTTATTTTAGTGGGAAGTATGCTTTCCCGTTTCCACCCAAACATTTTGCTGATTACATGTATTGCAAAACCTGAGAATCTCTTGCCCTTGGAGGTTTGGTGGAACTGTGGAAGACTTGGAGCCCATTTGGAGACCCCTTTTTTCGGCTTATCATGCTTATCAGCCAGTTTTTTCACCAAACACGTAATTTTTACTTTCGCGTGCTGAATTGTGTAATAAGCAGAAAAAGTAAGGTTGGAGTTACTTTTCTGGCTGTATTGGCTGAAGTTACTGTAGATGACTATTTTAGCTATTTTTACATGTAATTTTTTCTTTATTGTATTACTAAAATATATTTTTAATTTTTTTTTTCTAGAATCAGCAGAATCAGCCAAAACAGCCACTTCAGTCATAACTTCATAAATTTCAGCAGAAACAGCCAAAACAGCCGATTTTCGTGCTACCAAACGGGCTCTTAAATCGAAGTTTTTCTTTGTCTAGTAGCGTTTAGCGAATTAGGTATGTCCAATATTATCTTTATCTTGGAGTATCAAAAATTAAGTTGGAGGACACTTGTACTCCCTCCGTCCCAGAAAATTCTTCCCACTTAGACTTGGCACGGAGATTAAGAAAGTCGAAATCTGTGGTTGTGCTTGTGTAAGAAAAAGGTGAAATGAATGTGAACCACACAAATTGTCCAAAAAAGGAAAGTGAGAAGAATTTTTTGGGATGGTCCAAAAAGAAAAGTGGGAAGAATTTTATGGGACGGAGGGAGTATTAATTATGTGCCTGCTGAACACCACTTTGAACATCAAATCAATATGCTACACTTTGTGTTCAAATATTGCACTTTTAGGTTATCATGTATTTACAACAAAAATGCTACTTTGTACATGCCAAGTGTATTTTATCTTGGCATAGACAATAGATTATCATCTTGGTAAAACAAACAGTCGGATTTTAAAAAAATATGTGCATAGAAAGTTCGAGGCTACGAATAGTTTTCTTTACTAAAATGAAAGTCAATCATCTATACACAAAAAAATACATTTGGCATGTAAATGAGAATGTAAATTGGCGTGTACAAGTAATTTTTTTTGTATTTACAAACCTGTCACAACGTTTTTGTCAAATTATATACCAAGAATGTAAACTATTTTACTAAAATTAGGTAAAAGTTGTCCAGCTCTTTACCTCACGAAAATTGGTAGCTTTCTTTTGTGGGTATAGATATGTCAATATAATTATTATATACGTAGTATATAAAAACAGACACAGAAGAAAAATTAGGGCCCAGCCTTCTGTATCGGGCAGAGAGTGGGTGTCCATGCCTTTATACAATAGCTTCAATACAAATAGAAATGCATTACTCTCCATCTTCCAAAGAGATTTAAAGAGAATTGAGGTGCTTGTTAGATGTGAACCCAGATAGATGGCAATAAATGCGTGGGGATACACCGCACGCGTCAAAGGCTCCCTCTATATACCCCAAATGTTCTATGAATATAAAAGCGCCATCCTAATGTGAATTCCTACATATCTCAATGACTTTTATGACCTGCTTAATTAATTTCAAGACCCCATATTTTAGTCTGTTTGTATAGGATTTTGTTTTTCGACTTATCAATCAACTTTATAATCGAAGTATAAAAATAAGAAAAATTAAGGTTATAAATATTTTTCTGGTTCTATTGGATGAAGTTATTGTAGATGATTATTTTAATTTTTTTTTTCATATAATTTTTTTCTTAATTTTATCATTAAAATATATTTTTAATAAAATTTATTTATAAATGAGCAGAATCAACCAATACAGCTGTTTCAATCAGAACATCATAAATTGCAGCATAATTAGCCCAGGAATTATCAAATGGGCTCTTAATCTCCTTGTCATAAATGATGAAGGAATTGACTGTTTTATTTTCAATGTTTTCACATTATATTCATCGAATCAACTCAGCTCTTTTTTAATGGATAATTTATATAATAATTTCTTATTGATATCCAAAATTTTCGATTTATTAGAACTCTTGACTTAGTTCAACTATCAAGAAAGAGTTAATTTTATACGTAACTGTATTACATTTCTCTTTGCATATTTTCAACTTCAAATTAAATTTGAAATAAGAAAAGTAAAAAATTACTAGTATATGTTTAAAAATTTGTGCAGATAAGAGATACAAAGTTGACAACATTTAATAGGACATTATCATAAAGTACATATCGGATGTATCGACTAATTCGGCTGAAATGTATGAAGTTCTGGTTGAAGTGACTGTATTAGCTGATTCTGCTGATTTGCGAAAAAAATATTCAAAATATATTTTATTAATAAAATAAAATAAAAGTTGTATGAAAAATAGCTAAAATGATCATCCACACTAACTTCAGCCAATATAGCCAGAAAAATAACTGCACCCTTACTTTTTCTTATTACTCCTATTAAACAATTCAGTGAGCGAAATCAAAAGTTATGTGTTTGGTGAAAAAGTTGATTGATAAACTTGAAATTAAAAAATGATGCTTACCAAACGGCCCCTCGTAATAGATAAACTACATTTACATAATAGGACATTATCATAAACGACATACGGAGTATATCATTTTTAAGGAAAAATGAGATTTGAATTGATATAATAGTAAAAAGTCCAATCGGTAATAAATAAGGCAAAAGATGCACAGTAGAAATAGAATTACGGTGTGATAAAACCTCATTATCTGGTCGAGAGAAACACAGTAGAAAAACATGAGCAGAAACATGCAAACAGTTCTCCCCTGTCATTTTATAATTTCAAAGCCCCGCAGCAGAACAGATTTCAACAAAACTAAAAAACACACACAATGTTCTGCTACCACCACTGTTCACTCCCACATTCTCTTCTCTTCCTGCTTCTGCTCCTCCCACTTTTCTCTGTCACTTCCTCCACCTCCTCCACCGCCAATCACCGCTATGGGAGAGAAGGAAAGAGGAATCTCCCCCCACGACCGCAGTCAAACCTGATGGATCCCCAGGAGCTGCAGCTTCTGTTCAGGATCATGGACACCCTCTCCTCTGATTCCAACTGGAGAATCTCCCACCCCAACCCCTGCTCCCCCTCACCCGGGTCTTCATCTTCCTCTTGGGTTGGGATCGAGTGCAAAACCGGTCATGTCACCAGGCTGGACTTTGGGACCCACCCCAACCCGACCTGCAAGCCCACAGCCACTTTCCCTCCGGAGATCTTTCACCTCCCTCACCTCCAATCTGTTTTCTTCATCCACTGCTTCACCCACACCAGAACAAGCATCCTCCTTTCAGTTCAAGGGCAGAATGGTAGTTCCAGTATTTCTCCATTGCAGCAGTTCAGTCTCAGATCAAACCCTGCACTCATTGGCTCAATCCCTCCTCAGCTCTCTTTGCTGAAATCACTTCAGATCCTCACACTCTCTCAAAACAGTCTGACTGGACAAATCCCTCCACAAATCTTCACCTTGACCTCTCTCCTGCACCTTGATTTCAGCTATAACATGCTGACTGGACCTATTCCTACCCAGGTGGGAAACCTGAGAAGTCTTGCTGGACTTGATTTGAGCTATAATAAAATCTGGGGTTCAATCCCTGGCCCGATTGGGAGTCTGGGTATGCTTCAAAAACTGGACTTGAGCTCAAATGCATTGACTGGGAAAATTCCAGAGAGCATTCAAGAACTACACTCTCTGGTTTTCTTGGCTTTGAGCAATAACAGAATATCAGGCAAGTTCCCTACAGGGCTGTCAAGATTGCAGAACTTGCAATACTTCATCATGGATGATAACCCAATGTCCATACCACTTCCAGTTGAGTTTGGTCAACTTCAGAGGCTTCAAGAACTGAGACTGGCCAATTCTGGATATTCTGGGCAAATACCCACAACCTATTCCCTTCTGAACAACTTAACCACACTGTCATTGCAGAACAACCGGTTAACAGGACAGATTCCCGCGGAATTAGCCAATCTGTCACATATATTTCACTTGAATCTGAGCAGAAACATGCTGGGAGGTGTTGTTCCTTTCAACTCAAGTTTTCTTAGGAGGTTAGGGAAGAATTTAGACCTTAGTGGGAATCCAGGGCTGTGCTTCGGAGCATCCCAGGATCACGATGGAATCTTCTCTGGAATTGGTATTTGTGGGAGGAACCAAAGTGGGTACAGCTTAAAAAAGAAATCTGGAGATTCATCCCAGTTGAGCAAATCATTCTTATCCATTGCTGGTTTCGGTATTGTAGGAATGCTTCATTACTTCTTCTATCTTTAGTTTTTTTCCTCCTGCGGCGCTTTACTACTGCTAGGCTTTCCATTATTGATGATAATTCTTTCACAATATAATATCACTATTATAATCATTCTTCTTAGTGTTACTATAACACTAATATATTCTCTGGATTTGTATTTTTTTTTGGTGTTTTTTTGCCTTCGGGAATAGCGAAGTGTTAAAAAACAATATCCTTAAACTGGAAAGCTATCTAAAATTGTGTCAACCATTTTCCTCAATCCTAGTGGCTGTGTTTGGGCGGGTTTGGTGTCTGGAATGTCAACCTTATCGTTTTAGGCAAAAAGTTCGTCACAAGTGCGGCGTAATTGTCATCAGGCTTTTCCAGTCTGTGCCCATGGACATTCATTTTAAGTTTGTTGAAATTTTTGATAACTTCAAGGAGAAAGATATGATATTAAAAATGGATAAAATTTGTGACAGATATATTTACTTCGTTTTTTGGTTATGAAGAACGAAAAACTCAAAAACATTGGTATGCTTTTGTGAGATAAGAAGCTAACCGTTTGTTTTAATTTCGTTTGGCACACAAGCTATTGTGACTGATCAATTATAAGAGCTACAAAC